CCCTACACCAAACCCAACCCTAAACCTACCCAATAGCGTTAACAATTGCAAAACTGATATAAAAACTATTTTTTTGATGCAACCGTGCCATTTTAACTTCCTTATATACAGATTTGAACTGTTTTGTCGAACCGTAGTTACACGGGATTCGAACCGGAGCTCCTCACCTCTCAAGTACATCTCCGGGTGCTCCGTGAGCTACCGAACAAACTTATCGTTTATGAAAAACCATTGATATGAAGCTGGATATGTGCGTGCTAACATTCAAAAGCATCAGTTTTCAAATCTCCCAGCATATTAAAAATGTTTTGACGTCACAACATAATACTCCAAGTAATTGTGCGAAAATTACGCTTTATTAATCGAAACTCTGTAAATCATATTTTGTGTGAAAATAATTTAAAAGGTGTCAGAGTTTTACTGCCTCTAGTGTTCATTTCTTTTGGAAACTGCAGTGATATGTACTTATTGGTACGTATTTCGCGTCTCGCGAAAAAGTGCCCCCAGGTACGTTTTTGCCATGACCAGGTAGCATATGACATATACACACTATATTCCAAGTCTTCTTGCTAGGGCCGGCCCTGCTTGGTGATATGTGGCGTTAAATTGTCATATTATAAAGCACAGACTGATCTGGAGTTTCATTAAGGTTGTCATCAGCAAACTAAAATAAATTATATTTAAAGGTAAACTGCATCAAATTGAAATCCAAAAATAATGACTCTTACCAAACAGGTCTTCCACTGGCTGCATAAACACACAGTCTCGCACCTAAACTCACTACATTGGTTCCATTTACACATAGTTTTGAAAGTTTTGATCAATGTTTTGGAAGTGTCACAGTGTTTCACTCTTCAGGAAGTCAAAACGAAACATTTGGACAGTTCACAACATGAAAGATTAAAAATCATATTTAAATAAAAAAAAATTAATAATTTTAATGATTTTAACTTATATTTAATTAATGAATAATAATAATAATAATAATAATACTATAAAATGTCTATCATAACAAAATATTTTAAACAATATTAAATAAAATTCATAACATGAAAGTTTTTAAATCAAATTTAAATAAATAAATGAATAATACCAATTACATTAATTTGACTTTATAACGTAAAAGATTAAATCATATTTAAACAAATAAATATATTTAGTTGTTTAAATACACAAATTATTTTTTATTCAATTTAAATAAATGCAAATGTATTCATATTTAAATGGATGAATGAATAACTGAATAATGAACATGATAATAATTTCATAATTTAAATACATTTCATATTTAAATAAACAACATGAAGGATTTTAAATCATATTTAAATAAATACATATATATAAAAAACATTTATAACATTTTATTCATATTTACTCTAAATGAATGAACAAGAAACTAATTTCATAACATAAAATATTTTAAATTACATTTAAATAAATGCCTACATTTTATAATATGAAATGAATGTTCAAATAAAAAAACAAAATTTTAATACATAATTGAATGAATGAATGAATAAATAACTTAATTTCATAACAAAAGATTTGGAATCATCCTTAAATAAAAAAATAAAAAAATAACAAAATTTGTGATATGAAAGATTTTAAATCATATTTTAATAAATAAACACTTCATAATATGAAAGATTGTTAAAGACGTACTGTATTGGCAGCCGTAGGCCTCGAGTCTCAGGCCGATCCTGCCGTTGGGGTTCCAGTGGAGCGGCAGTATCCGGACGTACTGAGCGATGACGGGCTGCTGGAGTTTGTACATCACCACACTGTCAGCGTTCGAGTTCCCAGAGAAAGCCTTGCATGAGGAGAACAACAGCGTTACGTGACCTTTTGTGATTTGACCTGATGCACTAATGCGCTCCTGCATCTTTTATGTTTCCCACTGGATCATAAAGAAGCATAAAGATAAAGAGAGCAGTCTATAACTCTCGTTCAGCTTAATACTGTTAAGTATGAGTTATACTGTTAAATACTGAGAGCCTGTGGTGTTCGGAGCGACTCGACACGGCCACGGGTCAGCGAGCAGCGCTCCTCTCCATCACGTCACTGTATTAAAGGAAATCAATACAGCACTGACCTGCTGAACTAAAACACTGATCTCACTACTAAGACCGGCTGGTTAGGCTGGTCTATGACCAGCTGAATAGTTGCCATGTATAATTAGGCTGACATGTTTTTTATGTTTACATTAAATGCATTATTGTGCACATGTACTGGACATATATATAAAATATAAAATAATATTAAGTTCCAGTGTCATTTTTTTAAATCAGTGAAATAATACATTATTTTTTTCATTATCATTAACATAATAAAATGTAAAATAATTAAATATAAAACAAATATTATATACATAAAAAATTATTACAAATTTAATTAAAAATAAATTATAATTATACAACATACATTAAATATATTAAATTACATAATTAAATTATATTTATATAATTTAAAATACTTATAAAATTCTATTAAAATAAATTATATTTACATTTTAAAATGTATATTAAATCTAGAAATATATACAATAAATATAAATAATCAAATGTTATATTAATTGTTATATGTAATGTTATATTATTAAATATAAATAAACAAATGTTATATAAATGTTAAATCATTAATTATATTAAAAAATAAAATGAATACAAAATATGAACACATCCTAAAGCAACTTTTAGGTAGTGTTGAAATTAATGTGTTAAAATCTGTAAATCTTAAAATGTATGTCAAATATATAAATACATAAAATAATACATGTAAAAAAAACTATAATAAATATGAAATTATTACAAAATTATATAAAAAATAGAATAAAATATTTAAGATTGAACATTAAATGAGTTATATTTATATTTATGAAGGAATTATGTAAATAAAATGTATAATGAATGTTAATATATAAATAGATAACATAATAAATAAATGTAACAAAAAATAATAAAGTTATTAAAAAAAACATCAAGTTATAAAAAAAAAAATAGATTAAATGTATATCAAAATTAAAAAGATAAAATATTTATATTATTAATTATGAAAAATACACAATCTACCTGTCAGCTGTTTAAGCTAAGACACATCTGAACAACCACCAAAACCAGCGGTCTCCAATTTGAGAGACCAGTCAGACCAGCTTAAACCAGCTAAAACCAGCACAGCACCTCAGGCTTTCATAATCAGGGTATTTTCCAGCTAAGGTCCTGCTGGCTATTTAAAGAGGCAAACGGAGGCAACAAGTGAATTATTTTGCAGGGAGGAGCGCTCATTTTGTCCTTAAATCTGTCAGAGATGTGTGCAATTTGGAGTTCTGGGTTCAGAGTAATTGGGAGCTGAGTAGTGCTCTCAGTGTGTTTGAAGGGATCAGCCGTCTGCTGGAGTGCAGCGTTAAGCCCAACAAATTTCTCTGTTTCCTGCTGAGGAGGCGCATCTCATTTGCTCTAAAGTGGCCTGTGAAATACATCAAGAGTCAAGGTGCAAATCCTCCAGCGTCAGGAGCGACAAGCTCTCGCTCTCACGAGAGGAAAAAACACAGGCGCTCACGTCTTCAACTCTAAACGCTTCTCGTGACAGACGGAGTCGTGACTAGCGTTTCTCACTGCATACTGATGACGGATCGAGACGCAAAAATGAGTCTCGGGTCTGTTCTGATGGGTCAGGAAAAAACAGCACTGAATGTTAATAATAACATGCAACTAATCATACAGTCATGTAAACAAATTTGGGGTATGATTTTTTTTTTGAAGGAAATGAATACTTTTATCCAGCAGGGATACAGTAAACTGATCAAAAGTGTCAGTCAAGACATTTATAATGTTACAAAATATTGATATTTCAAATGAATGCTGCTCTTTTGAACTTTCAATTCATCAAATAAACCTGAAAAATAAAATGTATCACGGTTTTCTCAAAAATATTGTGCAGCACAACTGTGTTCAACATTGATAATAATCAGAAATGTTTCTTGAGCAGCAAATCAGCATATTAGAATGATTTCTGAAGATCTTAAGGAAATTAATACTTTTATCCAGCAGGGATGCAGTAAATTGATCAAAAGTGTCAGTCAAGACATTTATAATGTTACAAAATATTGATATTTCAAATGAATGCTGCTCTTTTGAACGTTCAATTCATCAAATAAACCTGAAAAATAAAATGTATCACGGTTTTCTCAAAAATATTGTGCAGCACAACTGTGTTCAACATTGATAATAATCAGAAATGTTTCTTGAGCAGCAAATCAGCAT